GCGTACCTGTTACAGTAGTATCCTCCGACGCAGTTTAAGCAAATTTATATCCAGGATTGGATACGCCAGCTTCTCTAGCTCGAAGAAAGCAAACTAAGGCCCCTGCATAACTAGTCCAATGAGTCTATTTTGTAAACAACAAGATCATCGTATCCAGACATTCCCTGGATTTAAGTTGAATAGTTTACTTAGAGCTAAACTCAATCCAGGCGGTCACAGTCCGTTGCTCACTTCATTAGCCAGTTTTAGGTATGCACAAGCCAACAAAGTGTTAGGAGTGCATATTCCCTTGCCGTAGACTACATTCAACACAGGCTAGGATCCAAATGATATTAGGGATAAGCGATCCTCAAGGTAACGAACGTACTATTCCCATTTTTGCAACTTTATGCTCATTCAAATTATTTGAAAGTGGGTTTGATTGAGCTACGTGCTAGCACTTCCCTATCATCTATATACATTGTTTGGGTTATATGTTTGTAGAGTAAATGAGAAAATATTTAAAATTATAGAGGCTCAGCTTTTCCTAAACCGGATCTGCCTTGTGTAACTGGAATGCCCGGTATTACGGGTGCTGTACCTGAGCCAGGCACAGTGTATGCATAGACAATAAAAAAATATACGAAATGACCGAGGGGGTATCTCCCGGGTCATGGCGGGCCCTGTCTGATACAAATTCATAATATTTCGAACGTCCGGGACCCCCACTATGTACGGACTGAGAGGTCAAGACATGGCTACATTATTTTGACACCGTCGGGCAATGCACCCGCGAACACGATAGGAGTAGATGATGCAACTAGATGATGAAAGTAGATCTATTAAGGGCATGACTAGCACTCAGTTCTATCGCGCAGATCCGGATGACTTGTAGTAAAGAGCGACAGTTTATTAATGAGGGACAAATGCTACGACCTTAACGCTCTCGCACATGATGAGAGGTCTCGCTATATAGGGTAGCAAAAAATAATTGTGATAATATACTACAAAATATAAGAAACACTGAGATGGATAGAAAGTTCAGAAATCGAGAGCTAGTTAAATCATGGCGTGAATAAAACGCCGACAAACTTAAAGAGAGCATCCAATGTGAATGTGGCGGACGACACTTATATCAGAATATCTCGAATCACAGAAAATCCCAGAAGCATTCGACATTTTTGAAATTCCAGCGGATGCTTTAACACGCTAGACAACAACAAAAAATGAAAAATCATCGTGATTATTTTTTATATATAAGATATACAGCGACAATCAGCGATGATTTTAATAAAGTTCATTGTCAAGCTTCAGTTTAATAGCGACGGATCTAAGGATGTATGTAGTTTCGATGCCAATTGGCTGGCAGAAGCTCTCCAAATGCCAAGCAATTGGAAAATCCAGAAATTGGGGTATACAAACTGGCAAACGATCTGCAATAACTGTCATTGATGTTGATATCAAAA